TTCTGTAGTCGGTCTGGTAACGTCAGCGCAGCCTCACGGCTGACAAGTTTGCGTACCCTTCTTTGGATTTGGCACCCAGAACTCTTTCTACAATTGTCCAAATAATACTGGACCGTCCAAAGCTTTCCCTTCAGCACTTCGTGCTTTAAAATGATCGACCTCCGTATCATATCAGTATTCTGCCTTACAACCCGCACCATTGCCGCTGATTTGGATGCTGAGATGAACCACTAAGCGGGCTGGTCGTTGTATGCAATGAGAACGAGGACCTCATTGATTGCAAGGAGCTTCCAAAAAGGGCAGATTCAATAGAGACTGAGGGTTGGCAATGATCCATGTTGGCTGAGCGTTCCCGCTCATGACACGACGGCACTGTTCAGTCTGAGATGCCTTCGAAAGGCCTCTCAACCACGGCAAGGATTTGGAGTACGTTATTGGCCTTGGAGGCTTGAAACGCTAACATATATATTACTGGGTTTTGCGAGACCTTTTCTCAGTTTTGAACAACTTTAGATTTTGAGCGCTGGCAGTAGTCACCTACTGGCCGGTCCTCTTCTTTGAGAACGAACCTCTGGATCCATTTGGCGTTTATACTATGCATATCGTCCAGCATGCGAGGTGGTCGCATGAGGCATATATGTTGACAGCAGTAAAAGTGCTCTTTTTCTTCCCCGACCCAACGCGGACCGGTTGTAGTGCTTGACTCGTGAAATGAGATGTTTGTGAGTTTGTATTTGCGTGAACCAGCGTGTCACTCGCGCATTTCAAGGACGAAGTGTAACACGCCGCTTTTTGATGAGCAGTTCACGTCAGATATTTATACGTTTTCATGCAAGCTGGGCGGCGATGATGACGCGCTGGGCCAATATCGCGCAGGCACGGTTGCCAGATCCTGATGCCAAACCCGCTGCTTTTGGCTTGTGTCCCTCTACAAAACAGGTTTTGGCCGCGAAGGTGAAGCTCATACCTGCTGGACGCGGTTCGATTAGTAACGCGACTTACGCCTAGAAACTCTTTCAAGCTTCTTGAAGTTTGTCTTCCTGACTCCCGTCGAGGCCAAAGAGCTTTTGTGACGCTGCCAATTGCCATCTCGGGTCCTCAATACCAAGAAAATCTGGAAGTCTGTTCTGCAGGCTGCCCGCGGGTCTCCTTGTGCTTCGTAAAGATACCCGCGTCACTAGGGCAGAGAATACCTTCTTTCTAAACGAGATCAAATCCGTTCTGGATATGGCGATCAATCGTCTACCGGGGGGATGTAAAGCCTGTTCCGGGAGCCCACGTCTGATTAGTTAGAACTTCGTCTGCCCCCTCTTTCAGAATGAACAAACGCAAGACCCGGGCTCTTCTTCTAGAGACCGGGAGTGTCCTTGTGGAAGAGCCTCTCAGTACTGGGTACTACCAGTGGTGGCTTGCTCGGGAGAACAAGAAATGCACTGGCGCCTATTCTCATCCGAACTGGCAGGAAGCAGCCAAACTCAGCACAACGGGATCGCGCATTGGAGCTTGCGAGGATACGGTCACGCTAGATGTGCTCGGGGGTCAAAAACCTGTAGTCAGAGCGGGGCAAGGAGATTCGGTAATCTTAGAATCAAGACCGGGGACCCTGTCGGAACTCATGATTTGGAAAGTTTTGGGCTTTTATCGTTCTTTTTAGGGGGGGCCTTCGCGATCACTGCAGCTGTGATCTAGTCGATTGACACAGAGACGCCAGGGTTTCGCACTTACTGTCGCTACGTGACTCGTTCCAACAGCGTCCCAGATTTGACTAAGACTTCTCCTTGATCCCGCTCAGTCAGTCTAAACGTTGACAAAGGTGAAAACTCGTCCAAGCCAAGACCCATTTCTGTTTTTGTCTCTCGTATCACAGGACGAGAGAACCGGTCCGCTCAGTCAGTCAGCCCCCGCATTGGTTTCTTTACCGACGCCCGGCCCGGCGCGCTGCTATTGGCAGCAGCTGCGGCGCCGGCCGACGCGGCCGCCCACCTGCCGAGCCGCGGCCGCGACTGCGCGTGTGCAGCTCATGCTGGATCACAACGGCCAATCGCGTTGGGGATTTATTCGTGGCGACCGGCAGCGGAGCTCCCCTCCGGCCGTGCGTCTGAGTTCCTGAGCTTTCGGACACTTGAGAAAGGATGCGTTAAAAGGCGATACTTCTGGGCGTTATATGCGAGGGTAAACAAGGGCCGCGCGTTTCAAGGCGTGCAGCAGGCGTTTCTACGGTATTCGTGGTTGCGTATGTATGTGTTTGTCATATTGTCGCAGGGTTTTTCAACATAGGGTCGAGGACAATTCCGATATCGGTGGTGGTGCTTTGGCACGACCTGTTACCGTCGGCGCAGGCAGTGAATGTGGAGGGGAGTAGCTGGTGATGTAAGCAAGTGTTGCGCAAAGCTCCAAACACACACCCTTCCTGACGCCAAACTCAATGATTCCGCGTTTCTTCTTTCTCGAAATTTCAGTGGCCTTGAAGATGGACTTAAAGTCTGGTGGGCGAGGTGCAACTCGACCGACGCCCAGACTTGTGCATACAGTTTTCCTGACGCCACTTCAAGCCCAGAGGTGGAACTGGACCGTGACAATAACGGCGGCCCAGGTCTGACACCTGTTCGCTTGCAGTCCGTTTATATCCAAGAGAATAAGGAACAGCCTCCAATACAGACTATACAGCATAGCTTGAGAATCTTGCAAGAGCTGACGCCGGCTTAGTTAGCAAGAGTCGAACTTGGCTTCAACAAGATATTTGCCCCTCAGACGTTCTTGATTGTCAGCGATCTATCACAAAATCAGGGGTGGAAAGACGTATTCATCCGGATGGGCCTTGCATCAGTTGTACACATTTTAACAAGAGACCTGGAGGCGCATGACTCTTGAGGCGGTCTGACATAGCGACTGACGAAGGGCCTTCCTCGTCATCGTACGACACGAAGCCACGGGCCATGTCGTGAAACAGCGTTGATGCAAGCGAATTGGAAGTGAATGAATCTTACAAGTTGGTTTTGTCCTCCGTATACTCTTGCGAATCTGCCCTGTGTCCTGCAATCAGTCTAGCGGTCTGCTACTTTGTCACCTAGACTATAACTAGCAGACTAAGTCGATATGAGCGTCTACAGTATCAAGCACGTCTGGTCTGCTCGTCCGTTCCCAAATGCGCGCGGCCCACGTGACCAGACTTCGTCGAAGTCAGCCGGTCAACACGGTCAAACCGCGGTCAACACTACCCTACGCTTAACTACCGTACTACAACAGGCCATGAGCCCATCTTTTAACGGCCTCGTTTCCCGGAGCTTTCCCTGGCTCAACTGTTAGCCGGCCGTTTCTGAAAGGCCCTGGAAACACTCTGTCGTGTTTGTGCGCGGGCAGCCTCAGTGTGCGGTCTGATCAAAGGCCTCCATGATGAGCATCTCGGGAGCCACTTCCATCTGTTCAAAGTCTAGCTGTCAATCCGTTCGACGTCTATCTGTTCCTCTGTTTGAAGTCCACCGAAGTCTGTATAACCTGTTCGGATTCTTCTCCAGGTTTGCATAAATTTGGCGGCAATAATCTACCTGCTGGGACGTTGAGCGAAGTGCAACTTATAACTTCCGCCCACTAAGGCCTTTGCGACGACACGAATTGACGCCTTTTTGCGGGAGCATATTTGAGTACCTGAAGATTTTTCCCGGCTGCCACTGCAATCATGCGTCGCACATGTTATTTGAAATACGACTCGTACAAATTCTGAAGCGTCCTGCTTAGCAGTACGGACATCTTTCCGAAGCTTTTCGAAGTTTTTATCGTATTGGCATCACTCAGCTTTGCCATTCATCGCTCGAAAGCGGGACCCTTGAATGGATACGGCATGAAGCGCCGAACCTCCGGGTTGCATACGTTCTGAGTTCGGAGTACAAGGCCAAAGGTTAAACCATTGGCGTTCAGTGAGGACTCCAGATGATACGTGGCAGTGAGCTCGAGCAGCATACACTTGAGGGACGGATTAGCTCGAGCAACATTTCCAAAAAAAAGCCTTGACAAGGTAAAGGTGCGAGCGCAAGGCTAATCATCAGGGCGCCCGATCCTCTCACTCGATCAGGACCAGTCTGATTATATTACCTTAGTATCCTTGTACTTGATTGCGTGTGTGATGTCCGCTATCAACCATCACAGAAATCAAATCCGACTTACTGATGGGAAAAGCGGTACCAATGTGTCTATCTTGGGCAGCTAGTGATTTTAAGGGCGACGGGGCAGTAAAGTCTTCCAGGCTTGGACGAATAACGTACGTGGCAGAACTCACTGGGACGTCATATTGGCGATGACAACAAGCTGGATGAGCACTTTCCGCTCAAACTTCCTTGCTTTCCGAAACACGGATGCCAACTCAGAGCAGCGTCGTACGGCATTCTGATCCCAGAGGATGGTAGCGGATTGCTAGAGATTCTGCCAGCTGCCCTTTTGAACTGCGCCCATATTGCTCACAATTAACGGGCGGGCCCGCCTCCGGGGTGCGGCGACTCGCGACGGGCTTGCGACCCAATTCGGAGTCTTGTCGTGTCGCCACTTGCAAGCACGCGAGACTAGAGGGCGTACTACTGGCGGAGGGGCGCAATCAATCAGATATGTTGGGCAGCTTGCTGCTTACAGGGAAGTAGAATCTGCGAAGCGCCAGAAGCGCGCGTCATCCTGCCGTTCTATTTTCACGCGCACGTTGTTTCAGCCTCTGGTATTGATCCGGCGGCTAAGTTGATCCGAGTCGTAAGACATCCAGCAAAAGGCGTCACCCAGGCGTCGAAAAGCATAAGGGTCAGGAACTTGACTCAGGGCGGCCCCGGCCCAGGGCGGCCCCGGTTCAAATTAGAAGGTACGGTAGACCGTAATTTCAGAAAGGCGCGCGCGCGCCGGCATCGATAAAGAGCTTTGAAAACCCTGAAACCCGGACTGGCTCTTCGGGGATCATCCGGCCATACTCGGCGGGTCACATGACACGCGCGCCTGCGCTGCCATCATGATGATGCTTCAAGGCACTTGAGCAATCCCCCGCGGTCAAAACGAAACAGCTGACCGGAATATTCTCATATAAGAGATGTTTGGCGCCTGTCATAAATGAGATAATGAGAGCTGATACTACTACTACTAGCTGGCTCTAGCGTTGGATGAACGTTGGCCGCTGATCGATGTCGCCTTGGATAATGCCGCCTTTTGCGGCTTGCATCAGACCTGTATTTTCAGTACTTCATCCTCAACATGTACAACGTCCTAATCAGGTGAAAGCTGGGCGTTCCCGCAGTGGCACGTCTTGAGTGCCAGCCTCTTCAAAGGCCGTATATATAGCTTCGGTCCTAGCTAGGGCTCAGCTCGTCTGGAAGCTTAGAAGCTCTATCGTTTTCTCCATTACGTCAGTCCAGGAGTCCGCTGTTTGCGTTGACTCTTCAACACCTCACTTCCCTGGCGACGCATTGAAGTGCTTGCAGCACAAGAGACTCTGCGCCAAAGTTCAAGAGAAGCTGCTCAGCAAGTGCACAGTTTTGGCGCCGTTTTTGTTCCGCGCTTTGACACAACAGAATGGCGGCAGCCCATGTTACTGGATCCCTGCTGGCCAGCGGTGTGAACACGCACGAGAGGCCAAGTAAAGTAGCTGGGCTCAGCGGTGTCGCCACCATCGGCGAAGCGCAATTCAAGCTCCTCTCACTAGTCGGGCAAGCGAAGAGTCTTTGAGTCTTTGAGCTTGTGGTCTCTCTGTTCCATTCTGTTCCATTCGGTTGCGTTGTTTCTGGACAGAAACGGTGCAACTTTGAAGGTTTTTGCTGAGATCTCCGAAAGTTACATGGAGCCTACTGCTTGAATCGTTGAAAGTTGGAAGTTCCAGTTTGTTTTTAGCTGAACAGGATAGTGACGTCATGTGAGTTTGTTCAGAATCTCAGAGTGCACAGGAGCTCAACCTTGCACCTCTAAGCCTGTTGGGCAGTTCTATGCTGTCGGAATCTCTGGTATGCGAATTGTCTTCTTAGAGAGCAGAGAAAGTCGGCGGTGCGAAAAGAACTTCAAGAAACCTCTAAAACGCTCTAAAACTACGACATGCAAGAAGCTAGAATACAACTTTGCTGCGCTGCGCAATCATCCTTTACTAGCGTTTGTTCGACGCTTTTGTGCAGAAGGAAACCGGAGCTGAAAGGTGTCGTGGCTGCAAAGTTGGCGGCCCTGGCTGACGAGCTAGAGATGACGCTTTCCCTAGACACAGAAAAGTCGGACAACAAGTGAGTGAACCCAAACTGAATCACAGTACAGGCATCTTTGTACGTTCAGCTTTCCTGCGATTGATAAACGGCTCATCACGACTTTTCGGAGAGCTGTGAAACGGGGTTCGCAAGTCTCAATCTGATGTAGCTCTCAGTGACTTTCTGAGCTTTGTCTCCTCCCCGTCTCCCTTCTTTCGGTCTACTGGCATACCTAATATAAGTCAATAATCTTGGTGTAGTATTCTATGGAGCAACGACCTTGAGAAGGTAGATGTTTGCCATCCTGTGCTCTCGCTCTCGAAGACGACTCTTGGATGCCTTTCTAGTAATGGTCTCCGAGTTCAAGCCTTGCGTTTGAACTTGGACGTATGAGTGCGTCCTGATCCATCCTAGATAGCCCTCTGCTTTTTGCTAGATGGAGCCCGTACGTAGGAGTACTTTTGTTGTACCCTTTTGACTTGACTTTAAATATGCTGCACAGTCGACCCCACTAGGTTTACCAACTAACTGACTCACCCGTAACATGACGTCAGCAGAAGATTCTGTTGTCGATCACGATTGCTCATAGGATGTGCCGACCAGCTTATTCGTACGGGAGTCCATACGCAAAATAGGTTCGGTCTTAACCCACATTCGATCCGTGTTACTTGCAGTATCTCTCCAAGGGGTCCCCTAGACCATCTTCCGCTCACAACCACAACAACCCCGGGTTCCGGCCCCTCGGAGCGGAAGCATGAAGCGGATTCCAACCCCGTTGACGATCTCAAGAAACGTTTCCTGGATTTCAAAATCAACTATTACCTGTAAGGCTGCCATCTTAGAGGTCTCTTACGTGGCTTCAGCTCTTCCGAAGTGAAAACGGTAACTGTCTTAGGTCTTGAGTGGTCGTCTGCTTTAAGAAGGGCTTCTTCCGCTCCTCCTTGACTTGAGAATCACGGCAGAATTGTCGGTAGATAACTTCGAGTATCGTTACTTTCTGATGTAAACAAGACCTCTCAAACACGGTGCGTGTTCAAAGATTCTTCAGACCATGCGCACGAAAGAGAATCACTTCTGCTGAGCATCCCTCATCGGAAATGAAAGAGGTTTTAATTTTCCATTACATATATCCATTCGAAAGGATGCCAGCTTCCTTTGAAAAGTGTCTCGCCAGGGCATTTTCTCTGCGTGTAATTTTTATGGGTTGAAGCTACTTTCGTGTGCGGCTCTTAAACAGCCGGCCTTGCTTCGGACATGATTCCCACAAAGAAAGAAGAAAGGAGCCCGTTTTTGGTGTCTACCGTGCGGCTTTCATGGGGACTCTTGCGTGTCTTTAATGACGACTGCGTATCGATAATCTGACGTCCCGTATGTGACGAACTTGATGTGTGCAGGAAGCAGCCTCAGTTTGTTGAGCCGCTCAAGACTGGACAATCACCCAAGGTAGTTCTTTTTTTATCACGTTTCAAGCCGCCCTAGCAAAGCTTTCAATAACGCTTCAATAGCTATGAAGAAGTGATTACCACAGACGAATCGTCTTGCTTTCGATTTGAGCATCCTCTGCTTGTCGTCTATCTTTTAAGGTCGATAGAAGATGCTATTGCCTTGCACCTGGAGGATTTTCGAAGGGGATCCCTTTGCTTCACGCCTCTAATCTGGAATCTTTGCAACAATTTTGCGGGCGGTCCTGGGGACGCAGGTTCTGCCACGTGGCTCTGCATCACGGTATCAAAGAGTCAAAACAGGTGACTCTTTGACCTGAAATATAATGAGAAAAGATGTTATTTTCGCAGATTTTATTCATCGCTTGCTGCGACTCTCGCGTCACTCCCGAGTACATCACCAAGGCGCGTCCGGGGGAGCTGTTCGTGCTTCGCAACATTGCGAACCTGGTGCCCCCCATGGAAGTGGCGGGGAAGCTGCACTACGGAACTAGCGCTGCGATCGAGTACGCAGTTCTGCATCTGAAGGTAAGACACCTTAGAACGCAGTATGATCTGATTTGGATCCGCTTCGGGGAGCTTTTCGTGTTGCGCGCGAAATAGGCGCCCCCCATTGAGATGGCGGGGGAATTGCGCTACGGAACTAGCGCTGCGATCGAGTACGCAGTTCTGCATCTGAAGGTAAGAGATATGGTCACGTAAGATGATCAGCTTTTTGTTCACTCGAGGAGCTTTCCTTGGTGCGCGCGAATGAAAAGAAGTTGGTGCCCCCCATGGAAATGGCGGGGAAGGCACATGCGCTGCGATCGAGTACGCTGTTTTGCATCTGAAGGTAAGATTCTTCAAAACCCATGTTAGGCATTTCAAGGAAAGAAGGCCCCACTTTGAGTCACATTCGGGGGGGTGATTTTATTCGTGGGCGCTCGCTCAGGAAGCGAAATGAGAAGAAGGAAGTAGAGTGCAACGTGACCAGCTGAGTCGCATTTGCTCAAGCAGCTGTTCGTTTTCGCAATGTTGGGTTTTGTAGCAAATCGGAAATGGCGGGGAGATTGCACAATGTAAGAGCGCTGCGATCTTGCTCTGTTTTGCATGTAAAGGTAAGAACCACTAGAACGCAGATTGATCTGATTCGGATCTGCTTCGGGGAGCTGTCTGTGCTGTGCAAAATTGCGTTCTTCGAGTCACATTCGAATAACGAGATCTTCTGAAGACGTGAAGACTCCGTCAGAGTTCTGGCTTCAAAAAGGTAATGATAGTAGGTAAACGTCTGAAAGGAGGAGGGATATCGACGCTCAGCGATAGGATTGCGCTTCAGGCATCCCTGATGAGAAGATGGACAAATGCATTGTTCGTTTCCCAGGTCGCTCTTTTCTTCGGTGAGTCAAATCCTCGACAATTACGGGCACCAAAAGCCATGACTAAGCCCAGAGCTCGCACGCCTCGTACCCATTCTCGCAATGCTTCTCTAGCATAGTTACAGCAGCTCGAATTATAGTAAGAACGAAGATAACCCTAAAACCCTGAAGCCAAACAATCACCCGCTCTGCACCCGTACCCACTTAACCCCATACTAATCCTACCCAGTTTACTATAATCTGAGCTTACTATACCTACTCTAGAGACTGATGTTCTCGCACTCGCATTCCAAAATCCCAGAGTAACCCGTGAATCCGGCTTTGCGGCCGCGGAGGAGCCGAAGCCGCGTCCTGCTCTGTCGCCAAAGCCACGTGGGCAGTAACGTCATCTTTGAACAGCCGCAAGACCAGGCTCCTTGAGCATCTGTTCGTCTCGCCGCAGGTGGAGCACATCATCGTGAACGGGCATCGCGCTTGCGGAGGCATCCAGGCCCTTATGACGCAAAAGCGGGGGGGCAAAACGACGGACACGTGAGCCCAGTCGTTTCGTTCCGTAACTTGAGCACCTGTCTCGTTTACTGGCGCCTTTTTCGAATGTTGCTAAACCTCTAGATGTGGAGAAACCTTCTACGGCCTCTCAACTTTCTCTGTGACATTTCGAAGGCAGGCCCTATACAGGATAAGAAGTACAGCTTCTTTGAGGGCCGAAAAGCTGATTGCGTTAAAACATGCTTAAAGTTTCGGAGGCTTAACGGAATACGCAGTCGCAGAGATTTCCGTGGTTCTTGCTAGCCAGAAGGAGCTATTCTGCAAGCGAATCCGCACGCTCCGACTCAGTAACACAGACGCCAGGTCACTTTCGCGACGAAGCTCGATTTAGCAAAAGTAGGCTTTAGCAAAAGTAAGCTTACAAGCCTGGGACGGGTGGGGTTCGTTTGGGGGTTACGGTGGGTACGGGTGCGGAGCGGGTCATTTTATGGATTTGAGTTGTTAGGTTAGTCTGAAACCTTACTTTTGCTAGAGCTTACTCTTGCCAAATCGAAGAGACATACTTTCGCGCCATGCAGGGGTTCTAAGAGCTTCATTGGGGACTGGATGGACGTCGCACGCCCGGCCAAGACCAAGACGCTCGAGCAGTGCGGACACCATGACCTCCAAACGCAGCTGCGCTTCTGCGAGAAGGTGAGGTTTCCAAGAACCGCTCATGCAGAAAGGCAAGGCTTTCTTGGCTTAGGAAGCATACTTTTGTAGTCACACTCGCATTAACGGAGATGTCCCTGGGGGCTCGGGACTTATCACGTGGGCTCCGTGGAGATTCAGAGGACTCGCGGTTCAGATCTATAATTTGTGTTTCTGCCCGTACGTAGGATTTGACTCTCGCCATCATGGCATTACCTCTGGGGAGAAAAGAAGTGAAAAAAACTTTCTGATCCTTTTGGAGACTGCCCACATTTGGGTCTCGTTTTCCGACGTGGGATGCTGCGAGGAAGGGTGCAATTCAGCAACCGTGGGGTGTTTTTCTGATATTAGCTCCCTGTAAGGGGCTCCGATTCTCAACGTGGGTCTCCGTGTAAGGTACAAGACTAGCCACCGGATCTGCTTGTGTCTTATACCGCCTTCTTTGAAGACTCGCATTTTGGCATGATTCTGAGGGGAAGAAACATTATGAATCTAGTACTTTATTTGTGAGCAGCATGCATTTCATCGGAACATGGGCTCTGGCAAAGCGCTCTACGGTGCACCTACGGCTGAGAGGCTGCCTGACGCAACTGCAATCTGGAATGACCAGTTCGTTATTAAGACCAACCCTGCCATGACGAATGATCGAGTCCAAAAGGCTTCTTCATGCAGGTGAACGTGAAAACTAGCTCAGAAACCTGCTAATTTTCCTGACGTGGGTCAAGCAAACCCTCAACTTTACGCGCCTTTACCTTTACCTGCTTGAACAGGTCTTATGCTTGACTATATTGAGACAATAAGACCACTTTGGACGGTATGCTTGCAGGAGAGTGTCAACAACTCGCTGAGGAATCTGCTGACCTTCCCGTGGGTCAAACAAGCGGTCGATGCGAAGCGGCTGCAACTGCACGGGTGGTATTACGACTTCGTAGAAGGCGCGTTATCCACATGGAAGCCCAATACTCCTGGCATGGAGCTGCTCACTTGAGACTCCCAGTTGCGGAAATCCCTTCGATGCGAAACTAAGAGGAAACTAAGAGGACATGGATGGAATTTTATCGGGTAGCGCGCTCTAAGCCGCGTCGAAATTGAACACTCAAAGCGCGTATAGAAAAGCTCGGTTAGAGCCATATGCGACGGACGAAACCCACCCGATGCGAGATGAAGGATCGATAAGCGGTAATACTGCGACTTGTTGGAGGGGGCTCGTTATCCATGTAGAAGCTGAAACTGTTTGGCGCGAAGAGGCTTGCATAGATGCCGGCAAACGGAAGTGGGGTGGAGGGTGGAAAGAGAGCAAGGAAACTATAGGCATCTATCAGAGCACACGTTCACGTGGTCGGACGTGATACTACGGCTTTGCGGTGGGCGGTCGTATAAACGTGTATATATAGCGCCTGACGCATAAGTGCTCGTTTACAAGGGGAAGGTTCTGCCGCGACAAGTCAGAAAAACCGGAGTGTGTGAAGAATGGATTGACCGGCGTTGCGGCGCTGTAAAGCAACTTTCTGATAGAACCCGTTTCACTACGAAGGATTGCGCATGGAGAAAGCCCCTTCGATTGGAAACACGGTGTTAACGGCGCGTAGGGCGAAGCTCGTTCCAATCGCAGCTTAGATTCTTGCGCCGGGGTACGGAGAAAGTATCCAGATGATTGAAAGCCGTTCTTCCTGCCTTTGATGTGGAATGGCATTTATTGTGACCCAACACTGACATGAGCCGCGCCTCACTATTCATCAGCTTGCCAACAACTTAAGCCGTCATGTCCTACTTTACACTGTCGGACAAGCTTCAACTCAAATGGGAGCCGGCGCCTGCAAATTGGAACAATCTCCATGATGATGATGATGCATGCGCACATACCGGTAACGTGTTATGATACATATGATTATATCAAACTTTTCTCATAAATGAGGTATACCGGGTCGGCCTGGTTGCACTTGATCGACTTATCACGTGCATATGCACATGTATGATCATATGATGCACACCGGTACGGGCACGTGCAGCCAGTACGTGCCAGTGACGGCGCAATGCGCATCAGACAGACCACGAGAATCCGCCGCCTGTTGTTTTTCAGCCAGTGACAGGCTCAAGCAGTGCCGTGCATGGCCCACCACTGACGGTCTTGCGATCTGCATTTAGATACTTAGTAAGAGTCGGAGCGCCGCCGCGGCCGGCCAGCACTTGCATATTGCTCTTTATATGCCATATGCATGCAGCGCTACGTGCCATCACATGTGAATGTCAGTGTTTGCGCACCCAATAACCACACAAGCTAAGTTCGTTTGATTGAATTGCCAGCAGTTATATACTTGGCGCGGCTTCCATCGTTGAATATCATACATGCTGCATGCATGGTGCTACGTACGTGAGTCAGCTTGGGTCATGCATGTCATACTAAGGCTCTCGCCGCCCAACCGCCACCCCCAGGCTTGACTGTCTAATTAGTACTCAGTCTACAATCGCGGAAGCGCGCGCAGCCAACATGTAGAAGGTAATTTGATTTTTGGCAAGTGCATGTAATTCATTTACCTATATCACTATCAACAACTCCATGTCATGATGAGGTACATGCAAGTCCGGCATGGCCAACTGGCGCCGCACTGATTTCGCATGCAAAGTCGAAGTTGCATGAGGCATTGGCACTGAGATCTGAGCCTTTCAGCCATTGTTGTTGGGCCGGCCACCGTAAACCAGGGTCGGAGCTTGATGTGGCGATCGCAGCCTGATGTGCCTGACCGTTGTCGGACAACTCTGAACCGAAGATTCAATAACGACCTTTGATTCAATGTTTACAACATAGCCGATTGGTACCTACAAGGGAACCGTCTAAATCATGCGAAAATAACGGAACAGCGTTGTTGTCTCCAGCTGTCAGTCCTTACGCTCCTGAGGCCAGCACTAGTCAACTGACGTCACTTTTGATCAGTGCGGACGTCACCTGGCCGTTCGAAGCCAGCACACGAACTTTTACTAGTCCGCAACCGCACAAACAGGAGGGCTTACGTACAAGTCTAGCTCGGGACTCTTCCCCTCACTCGGAACGCGATGCTCGCCAAGTCAAAACATGCTCGATGCAATGCATAGTTTCAGCGGACAATCAGGACGACTCCGCTGCGGGGGTTGACGGCACCGCTTTCGCCTCTTGCTCCGATTTCCGCTCCGCAGCCTTCTTCTGCTCCCTGAAAACCGGAACAAAAGGCGTCAGTTTCGAACCGACACTTGAGCTACTCGACAAAAAAACCAAAAGAGATCCTTCATCTTTGAGCCACTTCATTTCGTCACCAACGAGTAGTATGACAGCTCTCTAATGCATCTCGTAATTTGCATCAACGATCGGCAACTGTGAGAGCTTTTGGGCCGATAGACGGGGTAAAGGGCAGCCTCTTGACAGAAACGCTGATCGCACCACGTGATAATGCCTTCTTCCACAATTGTTGCACCCTTCGAAAAGGCTTATGGAAGCTCGTCCATGAAGCGTTGACATCTGACATGACTATGTCCGCTCCGGCTTCGGCAGGACACAGCCAACTCATCCGCTTGCCCCGTTTTCGTTGCAGAATAACCCAAAGTAATAAGCTACTGTACGGGCCTCTCTGGCAACCATGTTCTCACCTCTCGAGGAACTCTTGTAGGAGCTCCTTGGCCGCCGCCAGCTTGGTCAGCAGCCCCCGGTAAATGTCGAGGTCCCGGTCTACGCTCGCCTTGCTCACGTTCAACGCGCTGGTCAACTGCACGGTCGTCAAGGAACGAATTAGAGTAACCGTCATGTCGAAACGACACTTCTATGTATAGACAGGGTCTACGCTCGCCTTGCTCACGTTCAGCGCGCTGGTCAACTGCACGGTCGTTACGAAAACGGGTTAGGGTGACCGTCATGTCAACAACAGAGTTTGTGTTAAGACATGGTCTACGCTCGCCTTGCTCACGTTCAACGTGCTGGTCGACTGCACGGTCGTTAAAGACACGGGTTAGGGTGACCGTCATGTCAACGACAGAGTTTGTGTTAAAGACATGGTCTACGCTCGCCTTGCTCACGTCCAACGCGCTGGTCAACTGCACGGTCGTCAAGGAAACGAATTAGGGTAACCGTCATTCTACGCTCGCCTTGCTCACGTTCAACGCACTGGTCAACTGCAAATCGCTCAAAAGGAAAACGGGTTAAGAAAACCGTGGACTCGAAGGGTTTGTATTTGGAAACGCTTTGAGTTAGACACGGTCTACGCTCCCCTTGCTCGCGCTCGAACGCTTATCGACTGTACGTCGATTCAGGAAAATCGGGTTAGGCTAACGGTCGATGTTATAATGGCAAGTGCGGGACTTCGACAATCGCAGTCTGCTCTTGCCTTGGTCACGTTGGTCAATCTGCACATTCGAAAAAAGGAAAAGGGGCTAGGAAAATGGTCGATGTCAGGTGCACGTGCGAGGGTTTAGGGTTGGACTGGCAGTTTAAGAATTCCAAATAGACTGGGTCTAACTTGCCTTGCTCACGTTCAACGCGCTGGTCATCTGCAGATTTGTTAAGAAGCACGAAATAAAAATGGCAGGTTTAGCGGCCTTGCGAGCTTCGATGCTACAAGCAGCCAAGAACAAACGGCTGGCTGTCGAACTCTGTGCACGAAAGATGAAATAGCCGCTTTGTCCAAAATCTACTTTGAGAGACTTGATGGCGATCAAGCGGCTATGTTGAAACTCAAAGACCTCTCTCGTTCAGGTCAAAAGATACCACTTTGTATCATAATTCAAAGCGCGAACGCCGAACCCCATTAACACGACAAACAATCCGTTCTGAGTATGGCGCGACCCCCCGGCGGAGCCGAAATGGATATTTCGCAGAGGCTAAAAGCGAAGAAGCAACTGTAAGGAAACTTAACCTCCCTCTTGATCCTATTCGAGTTCAGGGACCTCGAACGGAGCGCGCATGTTGCACCCAGACATTCACAAACGCACTTGTTCGAGAGCGGCAAGGTCAGAAGGCTTGGCCGTGGCAAGGGCAGACGGCTTGGCCGTACTTCGAACCAAGCGGCTGCAGACAACATAACAATCTTACTTAATACCACGCAAATATTCCGCAGCAAGAGGATAAGCTCACCTTTTCGAGGGTGGCAGGATCGGACGCCTTGGCGAGGTTCAGTATCCTGAAGAGGCCGATAGCGAAGAAGCGGCTGTAGTGGAAGTTGCCCTCCTTGGCCCGCGTGCTGACGTCCTGCATCGCCTTCTCCGCTGCGCTGTCCCCGTCGAACTTCAACACGCTCTCCGCAGACTGGGCGCCCGCCCACTCTTCCAACGCTTCTGCATCATTCCTGCAGACTCAAACTTCACTAGGTCGAAACTAAGAACATAGGCATTGCAGGGACACCTCTGAGGTCAGAGGGGGAATGATTTGACAAGCTCTTTCAAAAGCTCTTCGTAGACTGGGCGTAGCCCACTACTTTCCACGCCTCCGCATCCTGCAGGTCAATATAGCGGATAAGACCTCCTGGTTGAAGTCTTGTACTCTTTGCCTACCACTATCTTCGTCTTTCTCGTAGTTTCTGCCTACTAAGGATGCTTGCACTGTATTCGCGGAGCTGTTTCAGACCCCCCGCAAACTGAGGGCCCGCTCAGTCTTCCAACGCCTCTTGTTCGGTCTTGTTCAGTCCTTCGGGTTCAAAATGGTTTTAACTCCCTAAAACCGGAATTGCGCGTATGGATTCGTGCCTGCATGGATGCCATGGCGGTCTTCCAAGTTGTACGTGTTACTGACGAACTGTCTCAGCCCCAATTGCAGTCTGGGCATCAACTTCCTTCTCCAACGCCTCATCGTCTTGCGTGGCAAAAGGTGGGATGCCACGTTTGGAGTTTTCCTTGCCGGAAGCTCGGCGTCTGTATATATCTGGGTAAGGCGTCGAGCAACTATAAAAAACGTGCTGTCGTTTGGCGCTGGCTCATCTGGCCAAACACCCCAGCATCTTTGCTACATAAGGTGCTTTCGACTATGCTTGGTATCTCGGCGAGTTTTCTTCAGAGTTCTGTTTCGAGCTGCCCAACGAGCTCCTGCCCACTCTCGCGGTGGCCCATCCCGCACCCTCGAGTACAATGGAACGAACACAGATGAGAGAAAATTTCGGCCGACTCTTCAACCGTCAAAAGGCCAGTTGCGACTGTCAACAGAGCCACAAACATGAGCGAAAAATCAACAAGTATCCCACGACCTTTAAACCCGACCTGAAACTATCTGCCGCCTACTGGTCGAAAGTCCCCTGAAGAAGCTCCGCGAACCTAACTCTTCAGAATGCTCCTACAGAAGGTACCAACATACTCCTCCTCTCACCTTTACTGATCCAGCTTGCTCAGGACTTTCGTAAGCGCAAACATTCACGCCCTACAAAACCTTCTGCTTCTCCTCGACCCATTGCACGACCCACCATGTGTTGGGATGAAGCTAAAAGCACCACAAAGAACCGACACCCAAAATACGAAACACGAAACCCGAAACCCGAAAGCCGACACCCAAACGCGAGAATCCCAACAAGGCCAACAAGAAAACAAGTACACGTTGCTCACCTGTACTGCTCGGGACTCTCCTGGAGCGCATTGATGTACGCTTGGAAGATCGTCTCCTTCTCCTCGGCCCCGTTGCGGTACCCGTCGAACAACTGGTCGTAAACTGTCACCAGGCCCAGCGCGAAGATGGGGTCGTACTTGTAGTCGCTGTTAAAGCGCACAAAGTGGTGCAACACAAGGAGCTCCTGGAGGACGTTGTTGTAGATGCTGGGGATGGGCTTCTTGTAGGCCGCCAAAAAGGAGGCCTTTGTGTCGGCGACAGTCGGGACGTCGAGTTCGCCAGCTGGCAGGGGAGAAGAACAAAAATTTCGCGCTTTGCAGTTCCAAAGATGTGAGAGTCTCCGGTTAACGCTCCATCAATACTAGTTGGATGCTGGAACTGGGCGTCTTGTAAACCGCCAAGAACAGAGGCTTTTGGGTTGGGACCATCGGGGTATTGAGTACGCAAGGTCAAGACATCTTGTAAAAGGGGCCTTTAAAGGTGTCAATCATAACTGCAAGGAATCTTTTGATGGTTTGCTTCTCATCAAATTCGGCAGTGGACAAGACTGATTTCGTGCACCTCAAATAACAACACGTAGAGCATGTCTGTTGACAAAGAAGCAAAACACACAAGAGTAGTGTCAGACTTGCGGATTTTGCAACTTTTGACTGTTGCATTACTGAGGGAGGAATTTGCAACCGCATGGAGGCAAAAGAGCTTGGAACAACCACTTGGGCAAAATTATGAATGCTGCGGGGTTCAAGGTTCCAAGCGGTCAGCAACTTTTTGTAAGCGGGTCGACATCATTAAGTTCGCCAGCTGGCAAGGAACAGAAGGTTCGAATACATTGTGCTGAGTCCCTTCTCAACAATCTCCCTTGCTCTTTGACGCGGAAATTCTCTTCCCAATAGGGCTGGAGTCTCTCCCCAACCAACACTCCGAGAGAAAGAAAACTCCTAACTTTTACAATCGGCATGATATGGGACAACCAGCGGTTTAGTCAAGGACGTCTCTCAGCACAGGAGAGACGCAGCGATGTCTCAAAGGATAAATAAAGTCCAGCACCGGATCAATCTGCATAAAAGCACGAGAAAGAGGGCTGAAGCAACACATGCAACTTAGGCAGATTGACAGCATTCAAGCCAAACAGAAACCCGAACAAACCTGCTCAAGACCTAGGAATCACTCAAACAAAAGCGGTCAACATGCGCAGACCCAACCAGTGTGCCAGGTGACAAGATTGGCATGGCAACAACATGCAGACAAGACAATGCACATCCAAAGACGATGCAAGCAAGAAAATGAATTGCCAAACGTCTCTCTTCTTGACTCCACACGCACACTTGTTTGTTGACCAGCCACACCGAACAAGCTTGCGGCTACATTTGCCAGAAGCATAACAAAATGTGGCTTTTTGAGTGGACGTCCGACCCAGCATTTGAAAGCGATGTCCCCGGAAAGGTGTGCACTGTATGAGAGAGATCACCTCTCAAAATCCAAGGCATTTTGAGGCAGACTATACCCCTAACTTACAAGCGCAGCCACTAGAACCTTACAAATCAAGAGCCTGCTTCGCTCCGCAGAATGAACATCTGCTCGGGCATGTCAACAGATAAGAGCAGATTGTTGCTCAACAATATGCACCACCCAAAAAGAGAGGGCGCGAAACATTGAATGCTCAACCATGCGCAAGCCCAGGCTGGAAGCAAGTGTCAGGCTTCCGACCTGGTCAGCAGTCAAAAGCTGCACACCATTACCATTTGGAAGCGCTCCCAACCAGAAGTGGTCCCAACTTTCACATTAGGGTTCGCATACATTACTACCGACCAACGACTCAAACCGCAAAAGGCCAGGGTCTAACTATCATCACAAATGGTGAGAAGCTGCATGTTCTCAACTGCCTTTCTGCCTCTACACAGACTGGCATGCGGAGCAACATGCAGATTGATCGAAAAAGAAGGTAATCATGGATGCAGGGCCTGTCTCGACATATGCAATCATGAATGCAGAGCCTGTCCCGGCGTATGTCTCCAACATGTACACTCTTGCCAGTTTTGCACGCAAGCAAGGAAGATCAGAGCTACCCGCCTATTGGAGAGAGAGATTCATGTACCAACGTGCCTAAGACGAACAAATCCCAGAAACAACGTCTAAACCTGCTTGCATGCCAGCTGAAAGAATCAATCCTTGTTATGTGAACAGGAAGCGTCAATTGGCATTATGGAAGAAGACAACATCGACGGGCTCAAGGCGACAGGCCAGATGCGGAGTGCGTGGGCCAGGTTCAAAGGGGCATGGCAGAAGGCTTCAGGCTAGCAAAGCTTCCCAAAAGACGAAACGGTGCTCTAGCTTGGTTGCCTTCACGGCACGAGCGCAACCACAATAACCTAGTTCTGCGCCGGTCTGATTGCATAGCATCTCTCTTCAGCAGGCTAGACAGCATCAGATTGATCATTGATGATATGTCGCTCTTTAATGCACCGCACAGAATGTAGAATCTCATATGTTTCTGGCCCCTCCTAGAAAAACGGATGCACCAAACCCGTAGACAGTCCATTCGTCAAGACAATTTCATGTTGAATTCAGAAAGCTGATGCTACCGGGTGCCGGAAACTGGTTGGACGCTCAAAAATGAAAACTCGCATTCAACCACATCCGTTCCTCAAGTAAACCCCCCTTGTCCTGACGGCTCAAAACTTTACAAACGAACTTTGGTCAACGATGGTCGAGACGGTGGTCAAGCTCAAAGCCATGCACCACAGGGGTGCGCTGGGAACACATTTGCTTTCCTTCGATAAACAAATAATAATAACTCTCCCTCAAAAAACAAAACAATGATAAAAAGGTTTCACAAGTGAAACATTCTAGTCTTTGAAACATTCTAGTCTTTGACTGGGAGCTGATAAGCTTATCGGGTATATCTTACCGGCAGCCTGGGCGACAATCCCCGGCCTCGTTGCCTGCACGCTCCTCATGCACCCTGCTTTTCTAGCCTGCTGCTTCAACCCTTTGACCCCAGAGATGAAAGCGCTCGCTCTCAAGCTACTGGCCCTAGCAGGGACACACACACCACTACAAAAGGCCATCTGAGGACCACTTGTGGCAACATCGCACCTTGTGGCCACCCCAAATGCAGCCTTGGAGAGGCTCTGAACCCCGAACGTCGCCACAGAGGACGCCATGCTACACGACCTTTCCTTCTGCTTCTTCTTCCTAAAAAGACGACTCCTCTCCCCTCTCCCCTCCGGCGGTATGGTCCTTGGCGTCCTTCAGCTGCGAGAAAAAGAGGAGATGCGAGAGCTAGAGAAGGCCCTCCAAAAGGGTTTGCAAAAAGTGCAAGGCAAAATGTGGATCAGAGAAGCTCTCCCAAAATGGACCGCGTAGCTTTCTTGTGCGGCGCCCTTCCGGAGCCGTCGATGAGCGCGTCGTGGATATAAAGCTGGACAACCGTGGACTCATCGCAGCCGTCCATTCTGGCCAGTGCGGAAACCTTGCCGCGTGTACATTTGCCACAGATTGTGGGAAGCGTCTGGTTGCAGGCGCACCGCGGGCGTCATGCTTGGAAATGGCAAGGAAGTTGATTTCAGTGGAAGTTCTGGACATTTTGCAGGAGGAAACCAGCAGGTTGCAAGAAGGCCGGAGCAACTTCCAACCATCTACGAAAGGGCGGCGAGGCTTGGGGGGGAGCAGCCTTTGAGGTGGCTTCTTGGGGAAAAGAAACCTTTCTGATGCTTTTTAAAAAGATTTTAGAGACAAAGCCGGTTTCGTTTGGTGGAAGGAAAAGCAGCATCAACTAATGTTGGTCGCAAGTAGACGGAGCACAGAAGGATCTGATTGACCAGACTTTGCCCCTGACCTTTCTGATTTAGCTTCAAACTGTCTTAAGGGGTCTGGACACATATGGCATCGTCAGCGTTTCTGGCTACGCAGCCGGCAGGGTCGTTGGCCGCTGGCTTCCATAGAGGGAAGTTTGCAGCAGCCAACGTGCTTCAAGATCTTCAAAGGTGAGACTTAGTAACATCAGTCTTCTAAAGCTTCGCTTGGCATGTGCTCAAACCATCAGGCTCTTATTTGCTCATCATCGCCGCACATTTCAGGTCTCATTTTGATCAGCAAATCTGCTCTCTTGCAGCCATTTGCAGCCAACTCTGATATGCTGGCCCATAAACAAAGTATGAGGCGGAGACCTTTCAAACCATTTTGCAGACTTGAATGCCGTTCGCCGGGCATCACATTCAGATTGTCCCGGTTTGGATATCAAACTTACTGGTTTGCATAAGCTGTTTCAGCGAATCGCAGAGGGGCTTGGCAGCACAGATCGAATGCTGCCGGTTTGATGGTCAATGTGTCACAAGACCAGTTTGACAACTGGTCAAGGGGTCCTCGGCATGTCGAGGAACATATCTCAGCTTAGTGATGCTGCTTCAGGTGACTGAATAACCCCTGAATGACTTTATCAAACAGCATTGTTGCTTCATCCTTGTCCAAACCGTCATTTGTTCCCTGCAGGCTTGATCTCCGGACGCCTCTCCACTCTCTCCGCCCTCACAGAGGCCCCCATGCGCACCCTTCAGCGCCAGTTCCTTTCCAAACCGAATCCCTTATTAGCTGCCAGTCCGCATCTAGTGGTAATGGTGCAGTTACAGCGCAGGAAAGTAGGTCTGAATCAACAGACAATGGGGCGGCAGTGCCTGTGCTTGAGCCCGGCAAAGTTGGGGAAAGGCTCGCCGATGCGCCGGCAAACGGAACGCCAACCTTCAAAGCCAGGGTTTTGGAGCCTGAGGAGCTCTTCTTTGTGAGCGAGGCAGATGGGACTGATCTGGACCAACCGACGCCCGGGTTTGACAGCATCAAGGAAGCAGTCGAGGCAATCCGGCAAGGGAAGGTGCGTGTGGCATGCATCGTAGCTCCATTTACAAGTGTGGACAGGGTTTGAAGAAGGTTTTAGGAACTGATTGATGCAGTGGTGCAGGGGGAAGTTACACCGCGTCACTTTTGATGTAAGGAGTGGTGCGTCTGGCGGGATGCAGTCCTTGGCAAAGCGGTTTTGTGTTTGAAATTTAGGGATTATATTAGTATTAGGGTTATTGCACTCCTCCTCAGTTTTTTCGATTGCTACTCCGCATTCCTCTTTCCAGTAGGCATGGAGCAGCCTGGTTCTGCCTGTTTCATTTGACACTCTTTTGGTGCCTTTCATTCTCCTTTGTTGTCTATCAGTAGAGGCAGCATTGGGGCCATGTGGTTTGATTTGCACACTGTGGCTGTCGGATGCCCACAATTCTTTGACCATCCTGCATTGGGGTCCATTTCATGCATGTGAAACTGCACAAATGGGCCCAATCCTCATTCTTATTAGGCTGTCTGGATCGACCTGAATCGACCTATTTGAAAGGCAGTCAGGGCGGGCCGTTCCGCATTGACCTGCATTGCATAAACGAGAGCTCAGGCACGTTTCAGAAGTTGATGTCAAGGAAAAGACGATGTGAAAAGACAGGGAGCTTAGCTCAAATGACGTTTTGGCTGATGGCGCACATCGCCAACTACCTTTTGTAGTTGATGTCTTAGTGGTTGCTTCGGTTGGAGTCATAGGGATGATGCAATTTTCCTTGTATGGGAGGCTGGGAGTGTTGATTGAAGCGAAAGCCTGTTTAGAGCAGCGAACAATATGTAGTTTAATTGAGAAGACTCATTCATTTGGGACTTTCAGTAGGAAATGATGGTCTTGGCACCCCCTGGGCCAATGATTTGGCTTCCGTACTGGCTTTCACGACGCCCCAGTTTTGGCTGACACGGTTTGTGTTGATGGGGTGACAGGAGGGTTTTGAGGGCAAGAACGACTTTAGATGGACATGTAACCGTCAATGGTGCTCGCCCAACTCTCTCAGCCAAAGATTTCCAAGATTCCAGCCGCACAATGCGATTCATTCCAGGGAGTGATTTAATGTTAGAATATGCATTTTCGATGCAGTTTGTGTTGGTGGTCGATGATGAGAACCGCGAGAACGAGGGTGACCTCATCATGGCGGCCTCGCACACGACCCCTGAAGATATTGCCTTCATGCTCAAGCACACGACGGGCTACATCTGCGTGGGGATGAAAGGGGATATGCTGGACCGATTGGAGCTGCCACTGATGGTCAAGCCGGAGGAGAACGAAGAGGTGGAGCGGACAGCTTTCACTGTGACGGTGGTAAGTGTTGGCAAGAGGATTGCATATCGAGGTTAAGGATTTTGGATTTGGGGTTTTGGTTCTGGGATTGTGATCTAGAAAAACATACGGAGAGGGTGCAGATTGTTAAGCCCCAGAGAATGATGGGGGCGAACGGACAGCACTCATGGAGTTCAGCGTTTCGTTCTCGAAAGCGCGAGTGAAAGCTCCAAGATCCATCAAATGTCAAAGGTTTTGGGTCTGAGCTCGAGAGAACCTGCATTGCTATGGTTTGCCGCCTATGATTGAGCTAGAAGAAAACGAGTAGCTGAGAGATGGCGTTCATATAGGTGATTTGATGCAGTAGGCCTTGTGGATGGTATTGTTATAGACCGAGAGATGCCAAACAACTCAAAGAACACAGGTTAAGGTGGCTGTAACGAGGATTCCGGGTTCAAGGTCTGAAGGTGGAGGGTTTCGGGGCTAGGGATCTCAGGGTTAGAAAGTTTCAAGTTTATCTGTGGGCTTAAAAAAGCCTTGTGACCAGGGCCTAAAAGGAAAGCCCCCTGGTGAGTTGATTTAAGCTGGTAGGATTCAGGGTTTTTTGGAGGCTTTTAGTTGAAGCTGGCTGTTGCATAACAGCAGCTCACGGAGGATTCAGCTGTAGGTGCTTTTGCTTTTGGATCAGTGAATGACAAACACGTTCAATCATCGTCGTAAGAGCCCTAATTGTGCAACCAATGTCGGCAGGTACCATTCCGCAGCGTTTTGTTTTACTGAACGTATACATCTTCAGCTTGGAACTGGTTCCGCCAACAATGAATCCAGCAAAGGGTTGTTGGGAAGCTGCAACTACATCGTCAGGGGCAGATCGCTGATGACTGGAACACATATGTTTGCACTGGTTTGCGTCAGCACTCTGTATGCGGAAAGGTACTTCATGTCGGCTCTATCAGTCTGAGAGTCTGAGTTCTCTGGCTAAGAATGAAACAAGCTGAGCGCAATCACATCTCTACAGGATGCAAAGCAGAACACGTCCACCGGCATCTCTGCCTCCGACCGCGCAAACACGCTCAGGGCCCTGTGTGACCCCGACTCAAAACCAGAGCACTTCCGGCGGCCGGGACACATTCTACCGCTGCGGTATCGGGAAGGGGGGGTCCTCAAGGTGTGCCACGTTACCCCCTTCCCTGGAGAGGATGTCCTTTTCGGGCTTCAATAACTTCTGCGCTTTTCAGGCACACTCGCTCTGTGCTGCGGAAGAGTGAACAGGGGGTGGAGATACGGATGTTTAGCTTGTTTGTCCCTCCAGTAGTGTTCCTCTCTTGACGTTTATCCTTCTCTGCTTTCTGGTCAGAAGGTTCGGGTCTGGCTGTTTGAATGACGTGACAAAAGGGGTTCTCAAGATTCGCATCTCCTGTTCCCCCTTCGTTTCTTCACTATGTTGTCCTTCGGATCTCGGTGTGTCAATAAAAGGCTGTTGCACCACACTTTTTAGCTGCGGTTCCAGGGCCTTTCCTTGAAATTGTGCCGAAACGATATGCTCCCCGAGTCCACTCCTGAGTGGAATGGGGCGAGGAGAAAAAGCTGGTTCGACCCGCGTCGCTGATGTCAGCCAGTCGTTTTCTGCAGCGGGCGGGCCACACGGAGGCGGCGGTGGACTTGGCGGACCTTGCGGGGCTGCCTCCCGCCGGCGCGCTGTGCGAGGTGGTCACGGCGGACAAACTAGGCATGGCGCGCCTCCCGGAGCTCAAGGCGCTTGCGGCCAAGGAAAACCTGCCCCTTATTTCCATCTCAGACCTGGTTCGGTACAAGCGGAAACGGGAGCAGCTCGTTGTGCGCACCGCAGTCGCGCGGCTGCCGACCGAGTTCGGACGGTTTCAGGCGTATGCGTACCGGTCCAAGATCGATGGCATCGAGCACACGGCGATCGTGAAGGGTGACATTGGGGACGGGCTGAACGTGCTGGTGCGAGTGCACAGCGAGTGCCTCACGGGCGACATCTTTGCGAGCCGGCGATGCGATTGTGGCAATCAGGTATGTTTTGTTGAGCGGTGGTTGTTAGTGCGCTCTTTCTTGTGATACCTTCAAGCCCTCGGCTAATTTGGAGCCCCCTTGTAGTTGGAAGGCAAGTGTCTTCCGGGGGATATCTTTGCGAGCTGGCGCTGCGACCATTGCAATCAGATACATTCCTACGGGCCTGTGTTCTCATAGCGTTCTCTTGTCATCTTCGTTTTCGAGCCAAAGCGGGTCCTGCGTCTGCGGAAAAGGGGTCCGACCTCCTCACTTGAAGACTAGTCTTTCCGTCCTGTAGCGGCAAAGGGTTGAGCGCTTTCTGAGTACCACATAGGACGGAGACCGTGTGCCCCTCCATGGATTCACACGTTCGATCATGCTAGGACTTCACTCCCCCCTAAGAATCCACCTCTCGCCTTTATCACATGCACTCCTCCACTCGAAATGCAGAGTCTGACTTCCTACACAATTGTGACTTCGCTCATCGTTCTTTCCTTCTCGTTTTTCAGTTGCATCTAGCGCTGCGGAAGATTGAGGAGGCGGGCCGGGGCGTGGTGGTATACTTGCGGGGTCAGGAGGGGCGGGGAATTGGGTTAGGCCACAAACTGCTGGCGTATAATCTGCAAGATAAGGGCAGGGACACCGTGGAAGCGAACGTGGATCTGGGGCTGCCCATCGACTCTCGAGAATATGGAGTCGGCGCGCATATACTGCGGTGAGAACTAATTCTGTTGGTGTGCTATCATTATCTGGGATTGTGTAAATCAGGATGAGACCATCGGCCCCTCGTCTGAAGGTCCATATGTGCCTGGAATTCGAAAATCGAAGAGTCACGCTGATGTCAGGGACTCCCATATAAGCGGACCTGCCACGAGTAGTCGTTTTACGGTCTTGGTTCCGCAATAATATTGCCGCAGCAAGAGGCAGCCTCCAATGTCTCGTTGAGTTGAAGTGGATGAGCCGTCTGTGTTGTCGAAATGTAGGCTTCACATTGTTTTTGAGACCGGCGAAGTCCATTGCGAGTGTTTTGATTGATGCAGGCTTGTGTCTGCGAAGGGTCCAACCTAAGAAGTGCAGGGTGCCTCTTCAGATGCCTGCCAGAAAGTTGTCCCTTAAGAAGCAACGAGGCTTTTTTCCTTGATGGATTTTGACTTCACCTGTCAGAGCATCTGTGCGTGGTTCCTTTGCCCTCGCTCCTTCATTGCGTCCAGCAAAACATCTGCTCATGTGGCGTCGCACTTAGCTACATATCCCCGCTGACGTGGCATGCCCGTGCTTGCAGAGACATCGGCGTCCGTACGATGAGGTTGATGACGAACAATCCTGCTAAGTTCCAGGGACTTCGGGTGAGCCATCTGCTATTGACCGACAGCCCCCCCTTACGCGATCATCTCCCTTATGGCTGCCTTCTCTGTGCATCTTTCTTGAGCCTGGCTGCCCCGTTTGTGCATCTCTGTTAAGGCTCGCTTTGGCTTGGTCTGAACGTGAGAGAGGAATAAACAAAGGGAAATTGTGTGTGCATGTCAGACCTTTATTTCTGACGTCAGTCTCTTTAATAAGTTCGAAATTGCTTGTCTACTTCCTCTCTGGTTTGTTTCTAGTTTACGTCGCAGAAGAAATTTCTGTGTGTAACACTAAGAAAGAGGGGTTTGCGAATGCGTGGGTTTGTCATATCCTAAGGTGTACGCACTTGAAGCGTGAAAGGGCGGTGGAAGTCATTCTGAAACCTTCAATCTTCAATCGCAGGGTTATGGCCTTGCGATCACTGAACGAGTTCCAGTCACGGGACCCATCAACGCTGACAACGAGCGGTACATGACGACTAAAAGGATAAAGATGGGCCATTTCTATGGAGAGTCAAAAAGCCTAGAATCCCAAATCCAGCGACTTGCGCAATACAACAGTGACGATGAGAGTTTAAACCCGCCTTCCTAAAGACATAGGTAACCATGGTTTGCCGCACCGCTTGCATAGTCATTGTTTTTGCACAAGCTTTGTCGGACATGAGTAGTCAGTACTTTCTTGGTATTCAAGGTAAACTTTCACATTCGAGAGTGTTTTCAGTCAGTATTCGTTAGGAAGAGGTCTCGGAGAGGACGTAGCAATGCGAGAAGTTGCAACGAGCTTGACAGCTCTATGAACATAGATACATTATTTGAGTACAGTGACGGGCACAGTTGGTCTTCACCGATGAACCTCATTAAGTGCCCAAGCCGACATGCCACAAGCAACTGGGTGTTGCTTGGGTGCTCATTGCGCATTGCACTGGCACGGGTATTGCGGATGCGCCTGACAAAACCATGCAATGCGATCGCTTACAATGACAACAGCTCTAGAGTATCGGAGTTGCAAGAGCCTGCACTCGGAGTGTGCAGGGCCTGTGCCGGGGCCACACCAACTTGAACCTACCGCATGACCCGGCGTTTCGATCTCGGCTGTACTTAGGTTAGAAATTGTTCGGTATCATGATCCTGGTTGACGCAAACCTCACTATAACCGTTCAATATTTCATCATGTTACGCCCGCTCAGTGGCCGTCCTACCGGTTCTTCTGGTCCTCCGGCCAGAGCCTGAGGCCCACTAGAGCGGGGGATCAGGAAGTTGGAACGTTCTTCCGACCAAACCGAACCCGCGTGACCGACCCCGTGGGCGGCCGTGACCTTGCGGTAACCTCGCGGTAAACCGTAAAACTAAACATGTATATGATTGGACCGGGACCGTGGTCCATTGTGAACCGTCCATCACATGTGTCGTCCGCGAAATGGCGCCCCTGCAGCAGGGTTTGCGAGGTCACCAAGAGATCGTTGGCATTTTTTTGGGCCATCGTAGCCATTGCTTTCAACGCGGGGCATATCGGACGGCCGAGCAGCATCAATCTGATAATTTACCGGCAGCTGCCATAATTCTCTAGCATAGTACCGAAGAGGATTTCCGTTACCGTCCCCCGAAGCATGTTCTATGGATCTTGACGACAATTTAGGGGCACAACTTGGCTTCCCATGTACTACCACGTGGCTCGAGCCGGCCCAACCGACGACCTGGTCGGTGCATCGAAGCGGTGCGTTCCGAGGGTGCCCGAGTTGGCCCCGAGTTTGCTTTTTAGGAGCGTATATAGGGAATGTCATATTCCAATAATCCCATACTTTCACCAAATTGCGTTCGACGAGCTCCAATTCGGACATCTGTCAAGAATCATCCGGGCAATTTCCAAGTCCACTTGAGCACCGGGGGCTGGTCGGGATGGAGCAAGCAGGTGGAGAGAGCGCATTATTCCTTCAGATTGGAATCTGGTTCAACGGGGAAAGTACATAGTAGACCCAGCTAAACTTGACCCTGCAGAGATTGCCTGCAAGTGCATTTGTTGCAAGCAAGCCCTGTTGAAATCGCATAGAGAGGGCATGTGCATATCATTCCGGAAGTCTCAGATCAAAGCGCAGCTCGCAGGCTTTGCTATATCCGGCTCCGATATCAAGTGCAAGATCAAGTCACAGCCGATCTGCCTTGGATGCATTGAACGCTGGGTTGGAACTGTGCAAGTAACGGAAACATCGGTCACTATCGTTCAGCTTGGCACATTGCCGGAAGAATGGTTTAAGCGCGCTACAAAACAAGACGCATGGACGCAAGTCAAGGTCTTGTCAGCCGAGCAGGTTGTAGACATTCAGAGACAGAATGCAGAGGACAAAGCCAAGGTCACGGGAAAGAAAGCAAAAACAGCCGCTGAGTCTGCGCTAAACAGGGGTCGCGTCGCTGGAAATGTTCAGCGCAGCTTGCCGGTAAGTGTTAGTCTTCTGTGCGCATCTTGTGATTTCGATTGCAGAGTTCTAAAAGCTAGTTTGCTATAGTCAATTGCAGCATTCGGACAGTTGATGACCCAATGATGAATTCGGTGCTGTTGCGCTGGGTCACAATAAATGACTCGCCGTCAAACTGACAGGATGTGCATTGCATCACCGGACCGTCTGCTTGTTTTGAATGCTGGGCTGCAGGCATTTTGTGGGAAAATTCTTCCATTGACAATAGCATGTAGCAAATTTGGACCGGGAGCTGAAGGCACTTGAATTGGGCTGCTGAGTGGGTTTTATCGTTCCTGCAGTCCAAGGCACGTGTCAATCCCTTGGAGACTAGCGCTCAACGTGACCCAGAAGGACGTCCAACCCTCACCACACAAGCAGTTCATTATCTAGCCGGGTTCTCAAAAGGCACGTGCCAGATCTATAACGTCGGGATGCCGGAAGAGTCCGGTGGAGACGTGGGCAGCTGCGGGGTCTACCTTATGACCGCTTGGAACCACAACTATGGCAGAGCCAAGCCACTTGGGCGCCCTAGCAAGAGTAGAGCTTTGCTGGAGACAGTGTATTGGGATACAACCGGAGAGCCCAGCTGCACATGTGACCGGGGACGGCTGGGATCCGGGGCCGTTTGCGTGCACAAGCTTGTGTTAGAGGCGGCCGTCGAGAGGCGACGACAGAGCACTCATCTACTGCTTCAAAAGGGGCGGCAAGTGGTGGAAGTGCCATGCGCTCGGGGAACGGAGAGAGTTTTTGCAGTCACATGGAACGCAGGGTCTCCCTCTCCAAAGCGGTCGATGGTGCACTTTGATGAAAGCGCGGAGTCCAAATGGTATTGTGAGGGCAGACAGAGTGGGTGCAGCCCCACAGCAGACTGCGGTCACATTAACGCGGTGAAGAGCTGCCTGCAGAAACGAGAAGGGGTAGAATCGGTTGAAGGGGTTCTACTCGGGGTCGAACAGCTGAAGCAGGCTGAGAGTTGGATACTGCGGAGAGAATGGGAGTTGCCCACGGACGGTAGTAAAGAGGCGCCTTCCCTGGAAACCCCTCAAAGTAGAAGTAAGGCGGCGCCAGCGGGGGTGCCAGCAGATGGCATGCTGGAACTCGAGAAGTACCTTTTCCAGCTAGCCGCTGCTAATGGTCAACACGAGCCAGCGGTCTGTAATGGCGAGTCGTGCTTTTGCAAGCAAAGCCCGGGGTTATTTGGTGGTTTTGTTTTGGAACGTGCCCCTTGCGCCGACGTCTGCTGCTCGGGGGGCCCAGAGGCCCAGGAGGGTGTGGCAATCCAGAAAGCGGCAAAGAACCGAATCGGAGGAAGGGGCATCAATCAGAGGGTCGGACAGGCACGTAAAAGGGCGGTCAAAGTCATACTTTGCGTCGAAGAAAATGAAGAAGGCGGCGGAAGCGGAAAGAGAAAGAGTAGAGTGTAGTGAGGGTAGAGGTGGACTAGACGGCGATGAGACAGAGAAGCACAGGGTCAGCAGTGGAGAAGACAGGGGGAATGGAAAAGCAAGGGTCGCGGACGCACCGGGTTTCAAGAGAGTCGAACTTGGGAAGGATGCTGTACAAGGGTTTGTCAGGGTCTGCGCAAGCTGTGTTTGCCCAAGCACGACATGCACACATAGCGACATGGGCCATCGCGTGGCTCCGGTCATGCCACAGAGCGCTGAGGGCGTCCAGGTGGAGATCCCAAAGCGAGTGCGTTCAACGGACAGCTGGGAGGTGCATGACCCCCTTGTGTTGTTGCTAAAACGACCACGGACGGTTAGCCAGCTTGGGGCCCCGGACTTCGAGGACTTGAGCAACATGGGTTGTTTGTGCGCACCTTGCCCGAAGGAGAGGCCCCCTTGCGGGACAACTTGGAAGGGCTTGGATCAGAGTGCCCACATCCACTCACTGGCCTGGTCGCAAGAGGTGAGCTCAGAGCAACAAGTAAGTTTCTTCAAATGGCTCTTGGGACACATGGACACTTGGGACACCAAGAACACCAAGGACATCATAAGAAAATCTCCAGTCGAAATGAGTATTCTAGAGACTGTGTTTGCAACATGTTACTTTTGAGCTCGACCGAGAAGTTGGACATGGACATGGACATTTGGGACACCAAGGACACCAGGGACACCATAACAAACCTCCGGTGGAAATGAGCGAGTCTAGAGACTCAGTGCATGCTCTCCAGTGTTTTTCAAACTTTCTGGTGTTTGAAATGGCAATATCTTTATTTGAACAATTCTTTGACATGCTCCTGCAGGTCAAAACCCGAATCTACTGCTGCGCCTGCCCGGAGGCCCACACCATCTACTACAACGGCGAGTCACTGGGGCTGTACACGTGGACCAGAAACGTGATCGTCACGCAGGAATCTTGCCAGCGGCTACTTCGGATTATTCAAAATACGGGCTCCGCCACCAACGCCCTGATTGCCAGCGAACAGGAGGTTCGCCGGCTCTATAGTCCTGGGGGCGTATCGTTGTCGGAGGAGAGCTGGCGCAAGGCCAGTTTGGCCTTCTTCCGTCTCTGCGGCCGCTCAATTCTAGAGTGTTGCAGCATATGTGGCATTCATCCGGAGGTGATGCTCTGCGACGGAATCGCAGGGCTTGCGTGTGCTGACGGGGGCCGGCAAAAGGGGGGTTTGGCTGGTACGAGCACGGAGGGGGTGAGAGCTTAAATTCCCGCCTTTTGAATCTCCATGTCTCCATCTGTCTGTGATTTGCATGGGTTGTTCTTCAAAAAGCTGACTTCTATTGCACAATTCTTCTGTCCTTTTCAGGTTTGTCCCGATCTTCCGTTGTTGTAGCAAAGCCAACCATCTGCGGATACCCAAATCGGCTCTGGTCTAGCTTCTAGTGTACATTATACATCCCATGCAAGTGCACTTTTTTGTCAGGTGAGGCCTTTCACTGCGCCCAGCCGAGATGAGGCCGGCGCGCCGGTTGTGAAAACAATGGAGGCGGGTACCAATTTCTGCTCTGTGGCACTAGATGGACATGGACTCAAGCGTCGGCTGGTTCACCAACCTGAAGTGCGGGCGCTTCTGGCAAGGTTTAGCCAGCATCATCCCGGAGATCCTCTCTGCAACAAAGAGTACGACGAACTCCTGGTGAGTGGGGATTATAAAGATTTTGGAGGGCCGGTTCTTTGAAGTCTTTCCTCCCTTGTGAAGCTGTTCTGATTTCACATGCATTGCCGGACAATGTTGGCAAACTTCTGCAAAACTTTGCGGCGCGTGGACCGCCCAGACTAATGATGATGGTGGCCACGCCCCTCGCGTTCGTAACCGTCGTGTCGTTCTGCCCTTGCCTTGGGAACTTGCCCGTGCCCCGAGAAGGTGTAGGACGACCCGATACCTTCGCTCACAAAGCGTTTAGATAGTTCGGACCAGATTTTCTACGCCCTCGCCCTGGGAACTTTTTCAGGGAATACGCAAAGTGTAACTCTTCCTCCTCAAAACCGTTTGGCAAGGTCCCTCCAGGTCCTTGACGGATTCACCGTCCCAATAACGGCAGCAAAGCCCATTGAACTCTGAAAGAGATGTGCTTTTTTTGAGCCCTCAGCGCCATTGACTGCCCCTCGCATCAGTAACCGGCGTGTCAATCTGCCCTCGTCCTGGGAACTTTGCCAAGCCATCTACCGGGTAGACGCCTTCCTCCTCGAACTTCCTTCACGACACAAGTCTTTTGCAGAGCCTTGATGTTTCAGACTCTGGTTAACGGGATCCGTAATCTAAAAGAATTGATCAAGATTCTTGATATCATGCTAGGTGGCGCTAGAGCGAGACGATGTGGAGGTCGTGTCCGATTTTATGAGGATCACCGACTATGGCGAAGATGAAGACCCGATGCTCTTTCATTGGAGGCGTCGGATCCTCACCGACCAGATCGGCCAAATCAGATTGAAGAACCGAGCGGTCCTCACATTACTTGAGGGCATAGAGGCGGAGGTGATTGCGGGTGGCGGCCACCAGCCCATCAGGTGTCCTAAGCAGTGGAGAGAGGTTCTCTACGGGTTAGGGGCACCTTTCGGGGTCTCGGATGACAGCAACCCTATCCGGCACGGTTTGGCGCTTGGTGTGGTCAGAAAAATGCTGCTCGGGGAAGCTGCTAGTGCGGGGAATAAGGTGATCCTAGCAGAGCATGCCCCCATTCTTCGGCGCCTGCTCGATCACTCTGGTGACTTCTTTCCCACCTACTTCCTGCCGGCGCTCCACCATTTGTACCGGCTAACTCTTTTTGGCCGCGGGGCAGTGGGGCTTGGGGTGGGCCGGGCTGGTTGGGCGCACTCGGCAGTTGAAGGGCTCGACCTCTGTGTTTGGCTGGAACGGTCTCGCATGTCAGAGCCGGGGGCATGGTGGAACGATGACCGGCAGCAAGCTTATGCATTTTGGAAGGCCCGAGCAAACATGCTGCTTCCAGGAGTCGAGACTTTAAAACCCCCGCCCCCGGAGGTATACCCTCTCAACCAAGCAGAGAGCGTGCTTTTGAATGAGCGCCTGGGCTTGCAACCGGACGGAAACCTTCCCCAATCCCTCCCTCCAAACCATCCCTTCGGACAAGAGCAACGAGCATTAGGCTGCTACCCTTTGCCCGGATGGGAACAGTTACGACCTACTCCTCAGTACAAGCCTTTTGAGGACGAGCTGGGCACGTCGGTGGATCGGAGCGAGGAGCATCGGTGTAAGACCGGACTCACGGTGGGGGCGTTCGATGCCAAGATTGCCGCTGAAAGCGGAAGCAAGTCCGCCAAAAGGCTTCAGCAACACACCAAGGGGGGCTTTGTGTTCTGCTGCCCCCACCGAGTAATCTATGGATTCCATGTGATGCTGCGAGGGGAGTCTCCGCGTGATCCTTTTACGGTTCTTTACACGCGCCTGCACCGGCACCACCTTCCTCGCTACTTGATCTACGACAATGCCTGCAAGCTGCACGCCTACTGCATGCGCCGCGAGCCGGCGTTCTTTGCTGATGTACGGTTTCTGGTCGACAGGTGAGTTATAATCTGCTAGGCAACGTCTTACTAAAATAATGCCTGTACTTTGTTTGAGACAACCTACCCAAGCGCTTGACACGTTTCATGCATGAGCATCTGGCTGTAAGAAGCCAGTCCTTTCACAAACGGTATCTAGACAGAGTACCCAAGGCAATACTGCATTCGAGAGAGATGATTATTGATACTGCTAGTGCAAGCATCTATAACCTTGGCTTCTTTGTGTGTGTGCAGATTTCACTTCCAAAAAACCGGGTGCGGTGAAGCACACAAGTGCGGGCCATCCTTTAACCCAGATTACTACGACCCAGTAAGATGGGTGAACACATCTGCCGTTGAGAGTTGCAACTCGTTCTTAATAAGCTTCAAAACGTTAGGCTGGTATTCTAGTTTAGATGCATATATGATCATTCTTCCAAACCTTATATCGGGTAGAAACGCTAAGTTGACGAGGGTAGATGATGCAAAGATTCTTATTGCCGGCAGAGCTGATAGGTGGACCCCTGCAGTCAGGGTTCGTTTGCTAAATTATTGATTCGTGGTCTATGTGATGCTAACGAGTTATATCAAATGCTTGTAGTAGCTTCTAGCTCAAATATCCATCTGACGCTCTTCGAAGATCTTTATCATATTGATCTCGAAGCCAGGCCGGGTTCTCTCTTGCAATGTCTTTTGCGATTTTATCATGTTGTTTTGTGAATTGTGTGGGAAGCTAAGAACCAATCTTTCTGTACCACCTTTGTACCACCTATATTATATATATATACTATATATATATATAGTATAATACATACAAGCATATTCTACTAGATAAACAATCATACATACCATCGTACCACCTGTCCCACCATCTTTTGAGTTGCCAGAGAACATCCGACACCAAGAAATATTTTGAAGAAAAACCCCCGCTCGAGGTGGTACACGTGGTAGATTCTTCTCGTCGAATCTCCATGTTGTTTCATCTAGTGTTACTTCTATAATGATGGCTTCTTGCAAGGCTCCACCACAATCCACCACCACACATAGGCGCATGTATGAGAAGGAGTATCGATACAAGCATCCGGAATTGTTTCGTAAAGGGTCAAAACGATATTACGACTCGAACAAAGATGTGGTGTGTTTGAAGAAGGCTCTCAATCGATACAAGCAAGGAAAGATAGTACGAGCAAGTACCATAAAGAAGCTTCTAGATGCACAACTTATCAAAGAGAGAAATCATTTCGAGTTGCCTTGCGAACCCAAGCAAACGACGTTACCATGTCAATTTGCCTTTCATGATTGAATCCAAAAACAATTAACGTTTTGGTTGTCTGCGAGCACGTCCACCGACCGCGTTTCGTTTGAGGAAAAAAATCCTTAGAACTACAACATTGATGTATCAACGATTGCTCAACCAATGTTCAAGTCCAAAGATTTGATCACCGCTATTGACGAGTATAGACGTCTACATTTACTACCTCTTACACTGGAACTGAGTTGGGACTCTGGCAAGAAAAAGGCACGCAATTGGTGTTGTTCGACGTACGCAGATATCGTATCAGAAACAACGTGGTCACATTACGAGCACAAGATTCGTGACGTTGCTGACAAAAACACAATTGCTCTGTGTTGTGGAAGAAAAGGTCCAAATAGCATCGTTGTTCTGGACATAGACACGCCAAAAGCAAATGAAACAGACACTGCAAATGGGATGGAGGTTTGGTTATCAAAAATCAAAAAACACGGCGAGCCAATGACCTGGAAAGCAAAGACACAAAGCGGAGGTTGGCACTATTACTTTAGCGCAGAGACACTTGGATTGAAACGGAAGACGGATACCACAAAATTGAACTTCGATGGCAAAAAGACAACGATCGACTTTCGAGGAAACGGAATCATCTTTGCACCTCCTAGTTCATTCCAAAAGAATGGAAATATCAGCTCATATAGTTGGATCAAAGCACCATGGGACGTTGAGCTAGCACAGATGCCACCATGGTTGATTGACATTCTAAACGCTAGTGTCACCGGAACTTCCGATGCCAAAAAGACAACGACGACACCATCATTTCCTTTGCATTTCGAACGTTCCTCGGAAAAAGGTGAAGGATCTCCTACACCATCCGATACAACATACAACAGACGTGCTTTGTCAGTATTTAAACAAACAAAGAGCCTGTTGCAGTCAAAGTGCAATGATCAATCCAGCCGTGATACCGGTACCAAGTTTTGCGACGGTGAAGCCATCATGATGTTCAGAGTGATCGGTAGTAGAACATGCATGAATCATAATAAGCATATCAGCAATAGCTTCAGTGTAATCAGCGATGGAGTCCTGTTGATGTACCGCTGCCTATCGTCCGAGTGTGTTCGGCGTCCCCGGCCGTTGCTTGGTATCTGTCACTGGCCCGAGTTGCTCACTGCAAAACATCGATTTGATTTTTTCGTGTTTGAAAAAGCATTTAAAATGGTTGCCAAAGCCCATGAGGACGCTTCCTCGGAGGCAAAAGAGATCCGCAAAGACCATGATCAGCTCATAAATATAGCTCTTGAGACAATGAACCATTTCTTCTGTGTAGTAGATGGAACTTCAAAGACCTTGTTCATCGAAACGGTGTATGACAAAGAGGAGACCTCAACTCCAATGGAAAGCATATTTCGTACTCGAAGCGAGTTCTTGGAGAGATGCGAATCGTTTAATCTAACCATAGGAGGAAAGGTAGAGAACCTTGGAAAAATGTGGTGCAAATCGTCTCATCGGAGAACTCATCAAAAGATTGTTTTCAAGCCATCAAGTATTCCGCAACCTTGTTCTAAAGATGAGTATAACCTCTTTCACGGTTTTCCGCTTGCAGATCAACAAATCTCCTCAGTAGACAGTGATATCATAGCTCCAATCCTACAACACATACAAGAGGTTCTGGCTAATAACGATTCAAATGTGAACGACTATATACTGAATTGGTTGGCACATCTTACACAAAAACCAGACAAGAAGATTGGAACCGCCCTTGTTTTTCGATCAGCTCAGGGAGCAGGAAAGTCTATCATTACGGATTTCGTTGGCAAGCAAGTCATTGGAGCTTCATACTATCTCTATTGCAACGATATGGACAAGGTCATAGGCAAGTTTAATGGAATTTCAGCCAATCTTCTACTCGTATGCTTTGATGAAGTCAGTTCGTGGGGAGGTGCCTATAAATCAAACAATCGTTTGAAAAGTCTCATAACACAGGATACAAGCATCATCGAGCGGAAAGGTCTTGACCCTATCCAAGTTCCCGATTTAGCAAACTATTGGTTCAACACCAATGAAAATTGGCCGATTAAGAAAGAGGCCACGGACCGTAGATATGCATGTTTCGAGGCATCCGATCACCGTGTGGGAGATCAAGCGTATTTCAACAACCTTTGTGGTAGCCTTACAAGCAAGGCCGCAAAGCACTTTTACTGGTATCTTCAGTCAAGGAATATTGAAACTTGGAACCCAAAAGAGATGCCAACAAGCGAATGGGGCTCTGAATTGAGAGAACATTCCATTCCCCTCTGGGCAAAGATGGTTAACGGCCTCCTTCAAAGTCGTTGCTTCTCAGAAACCGAAGAGATTTTTGTTCTTAGCCATGTCATCTTTTCCACTTACCGCACTTTCCTGGCTGATCAACAAATCAAGGAAGATCCACCTACAAGCAAAGATGTGCTTATCAAGGCACTCAAAAAGACACTGGACTTGAAGAACGTCCAGAAAAACCTCAAGGGGATTCAAGGCAGAGGTTTGTATTTTCCAAAACGGATCGATCTAGTTGAGCGCTTAAAAAAGGTCCGTTTTGACGTTAGCGATGTGCAATGGGATGCAGAATGGACTACTAACGGTTATAGTGCACCTCTTTCTTCCTCAAAACTGTCAGCTTAGAATCGAGAGAGAAAGATATACCTGGGCTATTGTTATGCTAAATTCTACCTACAATTAATGTCGAAGAAAAAAAATGGTCATTTTAAACGCACTATCAAAGTGAACACCGGCATGCCGTTCATCGAGAGAGAATCTGGATCACTTTGGTAATTCGTTAGATGAAAGTGATATAGGAGCAAACGCTATGCATCGCCCGCTCATACAAAAATACAAAATCCAGAGGTTGTTCCAATTTGGACCGACCACCAGGTTGAGGGGAGTGGCCAGCGCCCAATCCCGTTCACCAGCGCACGAGGTCTGGTGACCATCATCAACCTCCTGCCGGGCAAGAAGGCCGCTCAGTTCCGCCTCAAGTGCGCAGATGTGGTCGTTCGTTATCTCGGTGGGGACGAGAGCCTCGTGGCAGAGATCAGGCGCAACAAGGAGGTACAGAGTCAACTGCCAGCCGAGCATCCCGCCCGCGTGTTCGGAGAGACCGTCGAGGCCGAGGGTGGCAGAGCAGACCCAGAAGAGATCGACTTGCTCAAGAAGATCAAACGACAGAAGCTCGAGAACGAGCTGGCGAGCGAGCAACGCAAGTTGGAGACTCACGAGCAACGCAAGCTGGCAAACGACGCTCTTCAGCTCCAAGTAGCCAGATTCGAGATAGGGGCCAACACGTTCCGCCATCTGGCCCAGGATGCACCGCCTGTCGCCGTACAGATCCGAAAGGGGGTTTGCGTGTGCCCTCTTCCTCACGGACGAAGACACATCCATCGCCCAACGTATACAGATGCGGGTCACTGTGCTCACGGTGGGCAGGGAATGCTTCTTTCAAGCATTGTATCTACGTTCATACAATTCCTGTGCGGTTTGCAGAGAATGACCCATATACTCCGCTTTAGCTCGGTACTCTGCTCGGGATTTTGGCAGGTTTTCAGTATGAGAGATGTGACGTAAGAGAGTGCAGCTCAAGTTTTTTCCAAAATGGCGTTGACCAAGGTCATTCAGAACAACGGTCAAGTTTGTAATGGGCCTGTCTTCATATCGATTGTAATAATGATGTAGAAGCAGATTTCGTCGAGGCACAAGATTGAAACTCCTTGCAATGATTCTTGCAAGCTTATCAGGAATTACAAGCTGCCGGACCCCGTTCACTGCAAGGGTTTTGTGTTGAGAGAAGATGAAGGCACTTTTGCCATGCTCAAAGCTCAGTATGCAAGATTTGTATCGCCGGGTTTTCGATCCGTGTTTTTGGAATCCCCCTTTAAATACAATTCACAAGATGCAAATTCATTTCGTAAAGGTCCCAAAGGCAGAGTGTAAAGCGCTAGAAGCAGGTGGTCAAAAATCAGCTGAACATCCGAATGCAGCAGAGGTTCCTTTTTTACGTATTTTGAAATACAAGTTTTCACAACTTGGTCGTCAAGCACATCACGAAGATCACAAAGTTCAGTCCAAGGAACCCAATTGAGTTTTTCCGAATGCGTTTTTGTCTGCATTGTTCTATCTAATTCCTCGATTGACGGTTTCATAGACTCCATATACTTTGTATATTGCAACTTTACTTGATCCATACCTAATTTTGCGGCAAGAACTGCAAAAGGCGCTGCGTAAGCTGACTTTGTGAGGTTTTTCAACGGAGATCCATCGCATGTCTTAATTTCTTCAATTGCATTTATGACGTCTTGGTATTGTTCGATCCATTTCAAGTCTTTCATTTCTTCTTCGTATGGATAAAGCATCGAGAAAACCTTCTTCAATTGTCAACAATACACATTTATAGTAGATAGACTTCTGAGTTGGGGACGGCCTTCTTTTTCTCCATCTTTCTTGCTTAAAAGATCATTGAGCTGAGCTTCAACGCCTAGTTTGATTGTCTTCAAAATGACCATGCTAGGGCTTCTATAGTTACTAACAATAAATAATTAAATGCTAACTAACCACGCTCTACATCAATTTCACTTGATAAGCTGCAGATTGATATGTTTATTGTTGGAGGACAGTCTAGCACAAAACATCGAATAATTACTTCCCGACATGGCTTCCACTTGCGGATTACTAATAGCTCCAATAAGAAAGTGCCTGGGTAGTAATTCCAACGACCTTGCTAAATACTTTGAGAACCTTCGAGGCAACTCATAGAGTTGATCTTTATTTCGAAGATGGTACACAAGATCATCTCGTGATACTTCGTGTATTACATCGATATTCCCGTTGTCTTCCTCACCTTGTAGAATAATGGGCAAATGATATGTTTTTAAATTCTGTCGCATGGCTGGCGCAATCAATAAATGCCATTCAAGAAGGATATGAATGAATATCAGACGAATTTCTTTCATAGAAAACTCTTCCAGATCGTCCGGTATAGAGCGGACTCGTCTAGCAACCTTTGCGGCAAATGCATCAATCTCATCGCGAGTCATTTCCCTTGGATTGCTTACACACTTTTCCGCTTGTTGCTTACCCCTTAAGCTCTGAAGTGGGGCGTTTTCGCTCTGGAATGGTTCAAAATATATCTGATAAGCATCCAAATATCCAAGTTTTTTGCATGCAGCTAGAAAAGGGCTCAGTTTTGCTCGCCTTGTTGCAGGATTGTGATATCGTTCTATGATGCTTTTGGTAATATCCTTAGCTCGGGTATCTATCCATCCCATTGTTTTTGGAGGGTTGTATTGATTACCCTCTATCATTCGATAAACTAGCTTCATGGTATTTGCGTATTGCTTCACCGAGGGCTTCGTACGGAAACCGTCATCAAAGAAACAAACAATCGAATCCTGACCGGCACCCTCCATAGTTATTATTGGACTACTATAATAATTGAGCTTACATTGACATGGGAATCTTAGTTTCTTAAAAAACACTTGTCACTATTTTCTGACCTGTGGTTTTCTGTGAAGAACACACAATGCCAAAAACGCACTCGGGGTCTCCATAAAAGTTTACAAAACTCGAGTTTTGTAAACACGATAACCAGTTATTTCAAAGTCACACGTCACTTTTACCATGCAAAATGCATTCTGTTGATAAAGCCGAATTCCCCACTGTCACAAGTCATACTACAGTGCCAGCTCATTGCTTGACTGAAGCATTTTGAAGGTTGTCAATGATTTTTATTCACACTTCAAGCCTGAGGATCCGGATTGAGTTGGCCAATGTTTTTCAAAAGTCCATCGACGGCAATGACGAATGCTTTGAATAACGCTTTAGGGTCCGGCATTTGCTGATAGCAAAATATTATCTATTGATATTAGGATCAGTCTATTGTTCAAGCATGTCAATTCGAAGCTTTCGAGTGGAAGCCGCGTTTGCCGGCTCGTGTAAAACCGACGTAACGGACACAGTTAGAAGCATGCGTTTGGAGATCAATCCAGAAAGTGGGCGTCCACTCCAAGCAGGCTCGCGAGTGGGTTCCGCATTGTATCGCTCGCATAAAGCAACTAGTACGACGAAGTGTCAAGCACCCACCGTCTATCATGTTTTGCTGAGCGAGACAACAAGGGGCTCCAGTGGAAAGTTCTTTGGTTACCAAGTGAACATCGAAGTTTTGAAGAAACAAGACCAGCCATCAAATCTGCCTTTCACCGGTACTTATCGTACAAACACTAGGAAATTCGATACTGACACGCTTCTGAGCTGGACTAAGTGCAAGACAGGAGCGAAAAAATCGCTTCCCGCTAAACAGAGTGCAATAGTACTTGCTGACAAAGACGATGCCTCGAATGCAAGCAACAAGGCTATCGACAACCCAATTAAAACAGGAGTGCTTAGCTCCAACAAGAAGAACAAGAAAGAAAAGAAGAGCAATTTGCCAGTAGAACAAGAACAGTCATCAGGCATGGTTCTAAAGAAAAAGAGACGAGCTTCAGTAAAATAGTTTTCTACATATTGAAATTACGAGATGGCTAAAGCAAGTCAACCCATATTGAATGCCGATCTGTTGAAGCAAGAGATTGATACGAAACAGTATGATGTGAGTCAACACGAGCATGTTTTACGGCAAGGTCTCGATAGAAACTCAATAAGTCTGGTCTGCATGGGAATACGATTGCTTGTGTGTCATCTGGCTGAATTGTACCAAGAACCTTGCATTGCATTGAATGATATTCGCGAGATGATTCTTGTGATCAATGATGATCGAATCGAGGCTGGACAAAAAGGTTTTTGTAAGGAAGAGCGGAGGGCTATTGTCCGTCTTGCCTATGCCGTGTGCAGAAAACAGAAACGAATGCAATTCATAAAGAGGCCCGGCCAGGAGGGCAAATGGGTACCGGATGTGTATGTAGACGGCATTCGCATATCCTAGCAAAAACCAGATGGAAAGTATTATGTACTATCTTCAAGTTACCATCTTGGCTAGTCGAAAAGTTAAGTGGGCTTTCGGCTAGTCAAAAAGTAAAGTGGACTTGTTATGAGATTCTTCATGGCGTATGCATCAGACACTCAATGAAGCTCTTTCAATACATACATGCCATCACTACGTAACATGTTGACATCCACACCCACCTCTTTCTTTTAAACTCTTTCAAAAGCCAAAGTCATGATGAGGCGTCGTTGTGCTCCCGTGCCTTCAGTTCGATCCCCTTGTAGCCCCTTGTCGGCTTGTTGGTATACTCGAGACCTCGCTTTCCTAGTTGGGCCTTCAAACCCTTCCCGTCAATGCGAGGAACATCCCAATTCTCCTCCTCCTCGAGCCACATGCTATACCTTCCAATGATGTCAACCGAAGCCGTGAACTTCGTTGACCTTCTCAGATTTTTGTCCAAGGTGGCCTGCTCGTCCAAGAACCGCTGGAACGGGTCAGACTCGTGGACATACTCTCGAAGCGCTCTTCGGCTGTCAGCCGGCTGAGGTCCAAGAGCCATACCAGAGTCGTACCAGACCTTGGCACCCGTCACGATCCACACAAGAGCCTCTTGAAGTGCCTCCGAGGTTGTCAGCTTTGAAAGGAGAGTGTTATCGAGGACGCCGTTGTTGAAAGGGTCTTCAGGGTCGAAGCGCGGGTCGTCTATCTTCCGCCAAGACTTCATGAAGTTGAAGATGATGATACGGCGCTCGACAGCAAAGTCCATGTCCTCCACTTGTGGCAAACAGTTCGTCAGAAGCATCAACTGGGAAGGACAAAAAGAAGAGCAGTTGGTTTAAGCTTGCAACGTGTTTTTAAGCACTGTCCAAACATAGGAAAGCATCGCAAACAAAAAGAGGGATAGTTTCCAAGTGCCATCCGTGCTGTTCTTGCCATCATGGAGACAAACTCGTACGAGACTTCTCTTTCGTGGAGCCAAGATCCGAAAGATATGCCAAAAACCGACAGATCTATTTTTGTAACTTTTTCAAAACGAACATCCAGTCGTAGGACCGTCATACATCCCACAACCTCGATTGGAGGTCTTGCATTGAACAATCTCGCTCATGACAACAGCGGAAAACTTGAAGCAGGCTCTGAATTCCTCTGTTCTTTCTGTTCAGATGAATCCACAAGAGAACAATCTGGATTTTCAAAGTGAGCTGTTTGGGGAATTCGCGGAGCCAAGATCCGAAAGACAAACGATGTACCGCCAAAGATCAGCGTGTTCGACTTCATCGAGGCCGTCACCGGGAATGCCAATCCTCGTACCACCTGGGTCGACACCCTCGAGAAGTTGGCAGATGCTGGGAAGAACCCGACTGAAGTCTACAGCCTCCACCAGTTTCCTGGGGCTAGTCTGGCACACTAGCACATCTACACTTGATGATGCATATTTACCAAGGCAAATCCACGGCCGGTTAGACAATATGCCTACCTGGTGGCTTGTTTCCCAAGTCATGAACCCCTGGTAGAGCTGCCGGGCTGTCATTGTTACATTCCCTGTCGCTGACTTCAACTTGTCCTCGTCCAATTTGTCATTCTTCTTTGTCTCTGATGCCACAGCCAGCCTTGCCCCTTGAAGACCTGTAGACGCGCCATCAATGATATCAAAAGGTGCTTTGATTACCTCTCACCAGCCATGTAGGGTACTACAACTTATATACAAAGTGAAAATACAGGGCCGACTGCATTGCAAGCAACGGCCGGGAACACGAAGCAAGAAACGCCCTTGTCCACGGAGAGAGGGGAAACTTGGGACACCAAGCATACCAAAGACACCGTAACAGACCCCTCCCGTCTGAATGAAAATCCCGGAGACCATGCTTGCAATACGTAGATTGAGCTCGAACAGGAAGTTGCTTGGGACACCAAGGACACCAAGGACACCATAACAAACTCTCCAGTCGGAACGAAGATTCTAGAGACTATGCTTGCGATACGTAGATTAAGCTCGAACAGGAAGTTACTTGGGACACATGGACACTTGGGACACCAAAGACACCAGAGACACCGAAGACACCATGTGTCATGATTGACTATAATTTCGAGACCAACAGTTTTAGAAGCTTCATATACCCACCTTTCAAAAAAGCTGGTGACATCGCAAGAGACAGGATTAGGAAGGCAAGGTGGTCATTGCTTGTAAGATAGTAGTGATGATACTCACTCGCTTCCACTGGAGAGGCATTGCCTTTTCCCGCGGGCCGCTGGCCCGGTGCAGTGACCAACAGCTCCTTCGGAACCTCGACATAGTACGGGCCGAGGACCTTGGCCAAAACGTGCATCGTCACCGTCTTGCCATTAGAGCCCCCTCCAATTCCCATTCCAAGACACTGCTCGTTGGTGTGTCCGGTTGATGCGTACCCCATAAACTTCTGGAAGAAGGCAAGTCGTTCTCGCCCTTCCTCATCATGGGAGGCCATCACATGAAGGGCTTCCAGGTGGGCAAGGGGTGGTTGAGGCCATCGTTAGGCCAGTATAAATCAAGCTGCTGCCGGCACATGAGCTGCAAAACAATGAAGGATTGTGAGAGAAAGCTACATATGACAATGGTTGCAATCGATACTAAGCAATGCTAGACTCGGGTTTTCGGTCGGATAATGCATTCCCACGCAATTGAATCTGACAAACACATCATAGACTGATCTAGAATTTTATTCGAAATTGCGAACCCTATCTTTGGACTATTACCTTTCCTGAAGTTAGTGGTTTCTGAAGAGACTCTACATAATTGCGCCAGCTGGCCTGTTCAAATCAGAACGCTCCAAAGAGGGTTCGTACCTTGGGATGGTGGGGCAAGAGTGTGGCCGTCCGAAGATCGATCACACCGTTCTTGACCGGCAGAATGTCCTTGACACCGTCCAACAGCTGGCGAAAGGAGCTGTATCCAAAGAACTCTGGGCTTTCACAGTCGGAGAGGAGGTTGCTCATTCTTGCTCGGGAGAGAAAATTGACCTGCTGCCGCCCAACTGTTGGAGAGAATTGCTCTTGGCTCAGATCAATGACCGAGTCATTTGGGACTGCAAAGGTCGAAGCGTCCTCGGTTGCGGGGTCCGGCTGCGGATCATCATCATCACGTTCTTCGGCACTTTGAGACTCCCGCCCGAAGATTCTCTGTATGCTCTCTAGCTCCCGCTGGAAGATAGAACGGATATGGGCCCCCGTCTTGTCAAAGAGCCAGCGAGTGCCTCCCCAATACCACCACCCGGCATCATCGGTGGAGTAGACGGCCTTCATCCCCGTTCGACTATACAGGCGAAAGAGGATTCGAGCCCCCCCAACATCACCTGGAAAGAAATTCATTCCAGGATGTGTGAAGTTACAGGGG